AGATCACTCATGCCTCCAGGCAAAGCTCATGGAACAACATTTAACTCCTTTACGTGCCAAATACATTTGACCTGCATGTGTTCTGTCCTTCCTTTCAGAGATGTTACTGATCACCACCAACCCATATGATTATCAGTATGTGAGTCAAGGTGAGATCACGGTTCCCAGCATTAATGACCAGGAAGAGCTGATGGCCACAGATGTAAGTAATGCACAGAAGTTTTCTTGGGAGGACTCTGACCTTTACCAGGCATGGTACTTACTCTAATAATTCTTTTGCTAGAGTGCCATTGACATCCTGGGCTTCACTGCTGATGAGAAAACAGCCATTTACAAGCTGACGGGGGCTGTCATGCACTACGGGAACCTGAAGTTCAAGCAGAAGCAGCGGGAGGAGCAGGCAGAGCCGGACGGCACAGAAGGTACCAGCACAATATATACCAGAGCTCACTATGTGCCGGGACGCGCACTAATACAGGCAGTGATTCAGGGTCAGAACCATTGGCTCAGCCTGCCCATTTCCCCAGATGCTAGTATTGGAGAAGAGAAGTGTGTCCTGACCAGGGGACTTTGCTGGAAGAACACAGCTCAGTGGAAGAGGCAGATTACTTTGAAACCCTATTTTGAAGTATAAGGTCCAGCAAATCCTAAAGCACGCTTCCATTGGCTGACACAGCGGGAGCCAAGCCAGAGAAAAGCAGGCTTTGCTGCTGTACTGAATGGCAGCTTCCCAGGCCTGGCACAGAACTGGGAGCCACTCAGCTCATAGGGAGCTACTATCATTTTCATCAGCTGTAGTCCCTTCCGAATGGCATTGTTTCCAGGTGACAAGAAGCCAGGGCCCTGAAGCTGCTCCGCTTCAAAACCTGTCTCCTGGAGACAACTCACAGTGCCTGAACTGAGACATTGTGCTGCTTCTTTTTACATGGGGGTGTGTGTGTGAAAACTAACATCAGTTAATACTGCAGCTGTGGATCATACGTTCTACATTTTCTGCAGCATCTCAGCAAGTCTCCAGGACTTCTGTTTGAAAGACAGGCATCTAAGATACATCTATAACATTTGCTTTGCCTAGAATTGTTCAAATGTGCATTTCTCTAAAAGTTCATGGAAGCATTTCTATGAAGCTACAGTTATTTGTGTACATCATAAATGCACACCATTAAGGGTTTTTTTTTCTTGAGGTTTTTTTTTAATGTGTGTGTGATTTGGGTCTTCTTTTAGGAAAGTTGACACATAACTGAAAATGACTGCAAGGATTACAGTAGCAATGAATCTGATAATGATGAATAGTAACAGTAGAACAGGCTACAAATAGCAGCTGTAAATCATTACATAAATATAACCAAATGAAAGAGTTATAATTCGATGACCATTTAATTATTAAAAAATAATTCTACAAATGTGAAATACAACTTAAGTACCAATTTTTTTCTTTTTTCATACTTTACTATTTCTACTGTTAAATGTACATTAAATACTTACTTGTGAATAACATATACAAATGAAGCAGCTCAAAATCAGCACCTTTGACCTTGTCACATTAAAAGAATTTGTGAATAGTACTGTTGTTCACTATAATCTTTGTTGTGACAAGAGACAGGCGGGAAATTGAAAGTGATGACAGAATACATCTGGTACCTCTGGTGAGGACAGGCTGAGACAGTTGAACTTGTTCAGCTGGAGAAGAAAAGGCTCCAGGGAGACCCAATAGCAGCCTCCCAGTACTTAAAGGGGGCAACAGGAAAGGGGGAGGGACTCTTTATCAGGGGTGTAGGGTTAGGATGAGGAGTAGGGTTTTTAAACTGAAAGAGGGAAGATTTAGATTAGAGGTAAGGAAGAAATTCTTTACTGTGGGTGTGGTGAGACCCTGGCACAGGCTGCCCAGAGAAGCTGTGGCTGCCCCCTCCCTGGCAGGGTTCAAGGCCAGGTTGGACAGGGCTTAGGGCAACCTGGGCTAGTCGAAGATGTCCCTGCCCCTGGCAGGGGGGTTGGAACTAGGTGATCTTTAAGGTCCCTTCCAAACCAAACCAGTCTATGATTCTATGATTTACCAATCATGTAAAATAAATGGGGAAAAAATTAGTAAATCAATAAAAATGACATATTTTGAAGTATGTGAAAAAGTATATGTGGCTTCTGCAGAAAGGATTCTGAAGTACTTCAAGATATGTTTACTGGAGAGCTAACTTTAAACACTACTGTATGCTGTTTTCCTTAGTTGCTGACAAGGCTGCCTATCTGATGGGTCTGAACTCAGCAGACCTGCTCAAGGCACTGTGCTACCCCCGAGTCAAGGTTGGGAATGAATATGTGACCAAGGGTCAAACCGTGCAGCAGGTAAGAAATAAGTGATGATAGAAAACAAATGACATTAATTAAGAAGTCTGAACTTCCTCTTTTGCCCTGGATGGTAACTTTTATTTTACTTTTCTTTAGGTATACAATTCAGTAGGTGCTCTGGCAAAATCAGTCTTTGAGAAGATGTTCTTGTGGATGGTGGTTCGCATCAACCAGCAGCTGGATACGAAGCAGCCCAGACAGTACTTCATTGGTGTGCTGGACATTGCTGGCTTCGAGATCTTTGATGTAAGAAGAGGATCTTCATACAAGTTTCCTTGAAAGGGCATTAAGAAACTAGAATACTTTGGGGTTGCTGGTTGTTGTTTGGTTTGTTGTTGTTTTGTTTTGGGGGGTGGGTGGGGTTGGGAGGTGGGGTGGTGGTGGTGGTGTTTTTTTCTGTTTTGTTTTTTTAAATTATGGGGGTTTTTTTATTTATTGGATAATCCTGACATTCATGTAGGAATGGCACTCTTCTGGTTCTCATAGTATCCCACAATGGCTGCAGAATATTATAGAAGTCTGTTGTTGCATGCAGAAGCGAACACTGCATTGAAAACCAATATGAAAATGTTGAATAATTGTTAGGTAATAGCAGAAACAGATTCTGGAGAAGTTAAAATATACAGTCTTGAAGGAAGATTTTGTTAATGGTGAAGCCAGACTCCCTCTGAATTCTTGGGAATAGTTTGGCAGTATAGACAAATTCAAGCAGGTGAAAAGCTGGACATAGACTAAGCTCTGCAACTCTTTTCAGAGCACGGAAATGTGTTGAGACAGTGCCAGAGCCTGAAATGGTAGATATATTAGAGGATGGAATAGGTCAGTCACCTGTCCAGACCCATGACTATAAATTCAGGATCCCTATCATGCATGGATAGTAATAATAGATATAGTGGACTAATCAATAATAGATATAATGGGCTGAAAATAATACCTATTTGAAGATGAAAACTTCACAAGTGTCTCTGCATTCTGCAGTTCAACAGCCTGGAGCAGCTGTGCATCAACTTCACCAATGAGAAACTGCAACAGTTCTTCAACCACCACATGTTCGTGCTGGAGCAGGAGGAGTACAAGAAGGAGGGAATTGAATGGGAGTTCATTGACTTTGGGATGGACCTGGCTGCCTGCATTGAGCTCATTGAGAAGGTTCTTGGGCCCTACATACTTAATAGTTTTCCAGAAGTAAAATGTAAAAGAAATCTTCTAAGATTAAATTAGACCACTCTAAATGTGTGGCACTCACACAATGCAGCACATAACATGATTTTTTTCTGGGCTCCAAGCATTTCATATACATTTTTATTTGCCTGTTACTTCACTGCCTGTGGGATTCTGTCACATAGTATATATGATTTTCATAAGGAAAAAATTTCAGTCCTAATCATGGTTCTGGAGTTCATACTCAAATCAGTGTATTTTTTTAATGCCTGCTGAGTGAGTAAATACACTGACCAACTTCTATTTTAATATGTTTAAGGAAACTTCTGATCTTGATTACAAGAAAAAACATTTAGGGAGTGTAAAATCTCCCTTATATCTGAATGCTATTGATTTAATTTATTTTGCTTTCCATCTTCATCTAACATGCATATAGTGAATTTTTACATGCTAGATCACAAACCTGAAACTTATGGGAGCTTGTATTCATATATCTGATGGCATATCCACTAACAAAATGACATTTCTGGAAATATATAAGATTACATATTCAGGAAGGGAGGACGTTTCTATAATTTTTATTTTCCATTCCTCTCTCCTATATACATTCTCTCTACTTGCTCCCACACTTTCTTCCTTCACATGTTGCTGTTTCTCCCAGCCCATGGGCATCTTCTCCATCCTGGAAGAGGAGTGCATGTTCCCCAAGGCAACTGACACCTCTTTCAAGAACAAGCTCTACGACCAACATCTGGGCAAGTCCAACAACTTCCAGAAGCCCAAGCCTGCCAAAGGCAAGGCTGAGGCCCACTTCTCCCTGGTGCACTATGCTGGCACAGTGGACTACAACATCTCTGGCTGGCTTGAGAAGAACAAGGACCCCCTGAATGAAACTGTTGTGGGGCTGTACCAGAAATCATCAATGAAGACCCTGGCCTTACTCTTTGCCTCTGTTGGTGGAGCAGAAGCAGGTGATTTCTTTTAAATCAATTCTACTATAATTTACGGGGGGGGGCGGGGAATCATTATAATATTTCACAGTAATATTTTCATTTCAAAAACTGAAAAGCCAAAACCTCACTTACTTTTTGGAACTCAATCATTCAGACTAATAAAAGATATTACATTTCCCTAGAGACTTTTATAGATCTGTAGGTTTGATGATCAGACAGCTGTACTTCAACATTTACACAGGCTAGCTGATGGACCAGATTTCTGCAATATGGGACATTCCCAAATACTTCAGGGGACACAATCCATTGTATCAACATGCTGCTAAATTTAGGCATAGCCTTGGATAGAAAGATATGTAAAGACTACATTTGGTGTATTCACTAGTAATTTATTTAATTCCTTAAATATCTTACTGTGCAAAATGTTACAATTTGTTTCCTGCTTGCATTTTCTTAACATCAGCTTGAAGTCACTAGTTTCCATTCTGCTATCATTTGAATAAATCAAATCTCCCATTGTAACTTTAAATAGTATATGTATTTGCATATTTTAATAATATTACATTTTTAATCTCTTTAAGATGAACAGACAAAGTTCTTCAGATTTTTTTTTTTTTTTTTTAATTTATTTAATATTACTGTTTAGAGAGTGGTGGTGGTGGCAAGAAGGGCGGCAAGAAGAAGGGTTCTTCTTTCCAGACTGTCTCAGCACTTTTCCGGGTACTGTATTCTTTCAGAACTGCCCAAAAGTTCTGTAAAATAACACACAAACAAACAAAGAAAACAAACAACAAAACAGCCCAAACCAAAACTAATCATGGTTTATTACAATGCTTTTACTCTATCTAACATAGAGATTGTAATATTTTTAAACCCAAGTCTTTGCTCTTGATCTTAAGGAAAATTTAAACAAGCTGATGAGCAATCTGCGAAGCACACATCCCCATTTCGTGCGGTGCCTTATTCCTAATGAAACAAAAACACCTGGTAAGTTGTTAAAGTTCAAAGATATGATAACTCTGTTCTTCTCTGCCCAGTTCAATGAAATACCAATTCATTATGTCATTTATTAGGTGCCATGGAGCATGAGCTGGTGCTGCATCAGCTGCGGTGCAACGGTGTGCTGGAAGGGATCAGAATTTGCAGGAAAGGATTCCCCAGCAGAATACTCTATGCAGACTTTAAACAGAGGTCGGATTCCATGTCATCCTCCCTCCACCATATCTACCAATGCTGAATAATTTGCATTTCCTCGTTGTTTTAAGTGCTGTGGGTGCTATGGGAGGGGTTCATTGTACCTACCTGTAGGCATACAACAGTCAATTTTCCAAGATAGCCATCCAGTTTCTTTCTATAGCTAACTAAAACAGGCATTCTCAAAAAGCAATTTATTCCTATCCTTGATGCACACTCTGGTATGGGATAAAGCATTTTTTAATTATCCAGGAATTAAGTTGACTAGCTTAGAATTAGTTAACTTCTGTGTAGCAAAGTAAGATGACTTGTGACCATCAGCACAAAATGTGAATAAAGAAACTACAAGATATTCAAGACTAACTTGTTGGAAAACCAAATAAATAAAACCAACTTGCGTCTTGATCTATATCAGCTGGAAAATACTTGGATATTATGTACTGCCACTATTTTGGATGAAGAATTTCTCCTGTCCACATATTTTCTTCTTGCACATAAAGTTCTCATTTAGAGATAGGCATTAGATAACAGGGCATGTGGAGTATGTCAGCAGTTACCCATGGAAAGCAGTACCCATTCTGTGTCAAGAATTTCTGAACTAAGGAAAATTCAAGGTTTTTCCTAAAAATATATTTACCAATGACAATGTGATTTTAAACAGTGAAACGGAGTTCATACTTATTCACCTCTCTTCCAATCTTGGTCCCCCTTCAGAAAATCTTGCCAATGGCATCAGTTGGTACAGGTTTGACTGAGCTTTCAGGAATCTGACCTTAATTTTCTACTTCCTCCCATAGGTACAAGGTGCTAAATGCCAGTGCCATCCCAGAGGGACAGTTCATTGATAGCAAGAAGGCTTCTGAGAAGCTCCTTGGATCCATCGATGTGGATCACACCCAGTACAAATTTGGCCACACCAAGGTACAAATGCTGCTTGACTGATGTACTGTGCTTGCAATACCTCACTGTGATGTGCTGCAACATTCTCTTTCTCAAGGTGTTCTTCAAAGCTGGGCTGCTGGGACTTCTGGAGGAGATGAGGGATGAGAAGCTGACACAGCTCATCACTCGCACCCAGGCCATGTGTAGGGGCTACTTGATGAGAGTGGAGTTCAAGAAAATGATGGAGAGGAGGTAGATAGCTATACTTATTTGGCCTGCTGGGTCAATCCCCATCAGATATCAACATGAACAAAACTGAAAACAAGCTCCTTATTGCCAAATCTCATTTATTACTCATTTATTCAGTCTACCAGTATGGATGTATTGGGGAGTATAATCTGGCAGCAGATGAAGCAGTATAAAATCCCAATTTAGGGGGAAACAAAAAAATAAACCCCCTTTGTACTAATTTTTTGATAAGTTCAGTAAATGGCTACATTACATGTATGTCCACATGATAATTATTTTAGCTCACCATTATAATCAAAGGTGAGAAATGCATACTTCTAGCACAAGAGAAATATTCTCTTCCCTTGGATAACTTTCATGAAAGGGACCAAGTCAGCTTCTGGAAGTGTTACTTTGGCCATGAAAGTGAGCCAAACATCTGGACTTCAAAACCATCCATACAGGTTGACAATCTACGTCACACTAGGGGGTTTTCTTCAGATATATATATATATTTTGTACCTATTAAATATACTAAATATTACTAATAAAATATATTAAATAACATTTAATAAAAAATTTATATACTCAGATATATAAAACTAGTACTGAATGTAGAAAATCACATTATACATATCTACAATTAAATATGTACTATAAATTTTTAAATATGTAATAGTATATTTTTTGTTACCTTTCAGGGAGTCCATCTTCTGCATTCAGTACAACATCCGTGCATTCATGAATGTGAAGCACTGGCCCTGGATGAAGCTGTTCTTCAAGATCAAGCCCTTGCTGAAGAGTGCTGAATCTGAGAAGGAGATGGCCAACATGAAGGAGGAGTTTGAGAAAACCAAGGAAGAGCTTGCAAAGTCTGAGGCAAAGAGGAAGGAGCTGGAGGAGAAAATGGTTTCTTTACTGCAGGAAAAAAATGATCTGCAACTCCAAGTGCAGGCTGTGAGTATTACTAATGTTTTTAGTTTGTAATGTCTTATGTAAAATGATCCCAAATGTCTCAGCAAGAGACACATTATCCAAAACCAGTATTTTTAAAAACATACAGGTTTTATAAAATAGGAAGGAAAACCATGTAGAAAAGCTAACTTGAAATCTTCAAATATTTATAAATTTGCAATGAAATATTGCAGATGGTTCCTTACACTTTTAAATCAAGAGAGAAGTAATCGATTTCCGGTTAGTAAATACTACAGCTTAAAGCATGACATTTAAACTCATATATGGCAAGTTACAGCAGAAGTTATCATGTCTTTATAAAACTTCAGATATTATATAGTTTTGATACGTCATCATCTGATCTGATTAGTGAAGGTAGTCTAAAGCTCCTATTAACACCTCTTATTTGGAGAACCACAAGTGGATTCAGGTGGAGTAGGACAGGCCCAGAGTGTCAGGCATTTCTCTAGCATTTGTGGGCCCTGTGTCCTCGGGAAAAAGAGTGACAGAAGTGGAGACCTCCTCTTTTTCCTTGGAAATAAAAAGGTAGCACCAATAATCCCCTTAAAACTGTTGTTACCAGCAAGATTTAGGATTGATCTGACCCCCTTTTGATGTCCACACTCTAAATGTCTACATCTGAGCTAGTAGCCTGAGCTTCTCTTCATTTTCAGAAATGAGAAAATCATCCTGTTAGAGTATGATACAATTCATCCAAAATGTTGTTGGTTTGTTGTTTTTTTTTTTTTTTTCACTGAATGTGACTGCATCACATCATGTCAGATTTCTAAATCTACATGAGACAAGCCCAACACATTGCTCAGCTATATAAAGTCTTATGCCTGGCTGGTATCATGGTTCTTCACTAGAACAAAGAGGAAAAGAACAAGCAGTATGTAGAAAATAAATACTTCTTAGTAAATTGCATTATAGAATGCATGTAAATTCAGGTAATTGACACTCCCCTGGTAAACACCAGTCTCCCTTCCAAACTCTTCTTGACCACAAGGGCTAGAAACATGTCTCATTTAACTATTATTTTTGAAACAGTGATCCTAACATGACATTTCGCCAAAACAAAAATTAAATGTATATACAGTAAATCTGTGTGGGAGAGTTGTAATAAGGTTTTCTCAGTTGAATGTTGGAGTATTTAGCATTCAAGTTTTAAACACTGTATGCTAAAAAATCTGCCTCTGTGATTTCTTTTTTAAAAAAAAGGCATTAAAAAAAAAAATTCTCAGAACCTATATTTATAGTATGATAATATATCCCTTTATTTTATGGGCTGGAGGCAGTCCCTATCAAATACATATCTTAACAATAATGAGTTTTAACTACAAAGGACATTGTAAATCTGCTTCAAAAATAATGATTATTTTGTTAAAAAACAGTAAGAAAAAATAACTATTTCAAAACTATTTTAAATGAATCATGTGTAGGAAGCTGATGGTTTGGCTGATGCTGAAGAAAGATGTGACCAGCTCATCAAAACCAAAATCCAACTGGAAGCCAAAATTAAGGAGCTGACAGAGAGAGCAGAAGATGAAGAAGAGATGAATGCCGAGCTGACAGCCAAGAAGAGAAAACTGGAGGATGAGTGCTCAGAGCTGAAGAAAGATATTGATGACCTTGAGTTAACATTGGCCAAGGTTGAGAAGGAAAAACATGCCACTGAAAACAAGGTATGAGGCAGAACCTATCACTCGAACTTCAGAAAAGACTGTGCTGTTACAGGACTTCTGTATCTACTGCCTCTGTTTACACTTGCTCTGTTCTTCTCAAAGGTGAAAAACCTGACAGAGGAGATGGCAGCCCTGGACGAGACCATTGCCAAGCTGACAAAAGAGAAGAAAGCCCTCCAAGAGGCCCATCAGCAGACACTGGATGACCTGCAGGCAGAAGAGGACAAAGTCAATACGCTGACCAAAGCTAAGACCAAGCTGGAGCAGCAAGTGGATGACGTAAGCATGTCTGTCCAGAACAAGGTAGGTATGGTTTTAGACCTGGCATATAGAGCGTTGATGGTCTTCTTTCTTTAGCTGGAAGGGTCCTTGGAGCAAGAGAAGAAACTGCGCATGGACCTTGAGAGAGCCAAAAGGAAACTCGAAGGAGACCTGAAAATGAACCAGGAATCAATAATGGATTTAGAAAATGATAAGCAGCAGCTGGATGAGAAAATGAAGAAGTAAGTGTGGCTGTGGGGCACCTGAGTGCTGGGCTGGTGCACTTGTCTTTTCTCTTTGAGCTCTGACACGGTTTGCTTTGCCCACAGGAAAGACTTTGAAATCAGTCAGATCCAGAGCAAAATCGAGGATGAGCAAGCCCTGGGCATGCAATTACAGAAGAAGATCAAGGAGCTGCAGGCAAGCCTCTGTCCCTTGCCCCCTCTCACCAGTCTGGGGTCAGGAAGGAGGAGGGCATGGGTGTGAAGGGTCCCTAATGTTCCCCAGGCTCGGATCGAGGAACTGGAGGAGGAAATTGAGGCAGAGCGAACCTCTCGGGCAAAAGCAGAGAAGCATCGGGCTGACCTCTCGCGGGAGCTAGAGGAGATCAGCGAGCGCCTGGAAGAAGCAGGAGGGGCTACAGCAGCTCAGATCGAGATGAACAAGAAGCGTGAGGCAGAATTTCAGAAGATGCGCCGTGACCTCGAAGAGGCCACGCTGCAGCACGAAGCCACGGCTGCCGCCCTGCGGAAGAAGCACGCGGACAGCACAGCTGAGCTTGGGGAGCAGATCGACAACCTGCAACGCGTGAAGCAGAAGCTGGAGAAGGAGAAGAGTGAGCTGAAGATGGAGATTGATGACTTGGCCAGTAACATGGAGTCTGTCTCCAAAGCCAAGGTACTGAAATATTCCCTTATAGTAATTCAAACATTATGAAGTATTTATATTTTAATGGAATTTTAAGTTAGTTATATTTTAAAATAATTAGTTGCACTTTACAACTTGAATTTGAGTTTATATATTTCAGTATTTGTATAATTATATATTTTGTATTCTTTGAGGAGATCTAAAAAGCTTCGCCTGAAGCACCTGACCTAAGGAACTATAGGGTCTCATTGCATTTCTCAGAATACAGTGACATTGAAAGGAAAGTGACATTATCTGGTTTTTAGTTTCTTTCTAAACTAAAAATTTCTCCTACCCTACACTTTCGTTTTTGCTATTATTTTCCTTTTCTTCCTTAAATACTTCAGTGATGTAATCATGAAAAGCCAAACAGAAATTTAAAATAATTCCTGGTTTCAGTGTTCCATCATCCATTTACTTTTAAATTATTGGCTTTTTTTTCCCCTTCATAAGACTGCAGATTCTCAATAATTATGTGTTGAATCACCAGTCATCTTTAATTCTGTTCTTCATGCAAATAGGCAAATCTGGAGAAGATATGTCGTTCCCTAGAGGATCAGCTCAGTGAGATTAAGACAAAGGAGGAGGAACAACAGCGCACAATTAATGACATCAGTGCTCAGAGAGCTCGGCTACAAACAGAATCTGGTAAAAAAAATATATTTTTTTAAGAGAACACTGTATATGATCTGGGGCTTAAAAAGGGGGG